CAGCCCAGCCCACTGTCATCAAGTTAATTCTGACTATAGAGACCCTTCACAGGGCTTCGGAGGCAATAGATCTTTATAGGAGGAGACTGCTCACCTTCCTCCCATGGAACACACAGCAGATTTGAACTGCCAGCCTTTTGGTTAGCAGCCCAACCTGTTACACACTACAAGACCAGGGCTGCTTTTGTGTCATTAGAAGATACACTTCTCAGGTCAAGTAGAAGTTCCTTTTTCTTTGGACAGGTTTGTGATTTCCTTTGCTGTCTTAAGCAGGTATTTTGTAAGATCTTTGATCTTAGTGCTTGTGAGCAGTGCTCGTCAAATATCAGACATGACGCAGCGTGGAAGTAATGATTCCACCTCAGTTTACATATCTGGGGTTAACACACTAGGGGGTTCCGGCTTAGTATTTTGGGCTGTTTCACTGTAAATATACCGAAGGCTTGATCCTAATGTGCTCCTTACTGTATGGAAAGCTTTTCTTGAGCTTTGCAAACTCTCTCCCCTCTCATGTATACAGTAGAAAGAGCCAGATTGCTTGAGGAAATTCTCCACTCTTCTTTCTTTCGGTTTGTTTCTATAAACCCCACGGTTATAGGGGAAGCAAAATCATAATTGTGTATCACTATTTCCTGGGGATTGGCTCATCTGTTAGTAATCAGGAAGGCAGGTTTGGATGAGAAATGGATTGTTGGAAATTGAGGACACATTAACCTTTTCTTTACCATTTTTCTCCTCAGTGGGCATGAGGAGGGAGGCAGGTAGAGAACATAAAGGGCAGGAAAAGAAGCAGCAAACTGGTCTAAAGTAGAGCCTTTTATAATTGGCAAGTGTCTGATTTGCTGGTTGAAGGGATTAGAGATGAGTTAAACCGAATGTGTGTGTGGTAATAAATGGCTTGATTGCTCACTGCTGTGGAGCAGGATGATTCTTCATGTGCAAGTTTAAACTCATCTTTCTTCCAAGTGAGTGGCCCACGCCAGAGGTTCTCCTTCTGCTACTGCATATCTCGCGCAGGGCAACACTGATCTTTTTCCGAATTAGGTCTGGCTCAGCTGCAGGTGCCTTTAGATCTATTTCAGCCATATGTTTTTGAAACCATTGCTCCTGAACTTTTCTCTGATCTTTGGAGTGTTAGTGACTGATACTTATTCTGGAAGGTCTTGCCCTTAGGATGGCTTTCACCTAATTAGTCATCTTTATTACAATCAGATCATCATTAAAAATGCATACTTGATGCAGGCTGCCCTGTTAGGTCAACACTCTCTCTCCCCCCTCCCCCATCTCCTTTACCTCCTTCCTTCCCCTTCCTCTCCCCCATCCCCTTTCCCTCCCTCGTCTCATTTTCTCTCTCTCATTCTCTCTCTCTCTCTCTCACACACACACACACCCTCTCTCTCTTTCTCACCCCCCCCTGTGAAGTTAGGTATTTGTTTAGGCAAATTTAATATGGCTGTTTAGTAAATATCCTGTGGGGGGAAAAACATGTCTTTGGGCCCCGGAAGTACCAGGAAGGGTACCATACTCCTCCTATCCCTGTGTTTGAAGAATTTTCTTAGTATCAGATGAGAATGGCTGTCACAACAACAAAACATGCCGTGGGTGGATAGTAGAAGGGGCTCCTGTTTAGTGGAGAGGGTCGAGGAAGGTTGTTAACAAGGAGATAGCAGTTATGGTGGAGCTTGAGGGTTGAAAAACCCTTTGTCATATGAAGGAGATGATCAGAAAGATTATTATGCTCGGAGAAGCAGAGGCAGGAAAGCACGCCAATGTCCAGATAAGGTCAGGAGATCAAGTTATAATTAGCATTTTCATTGAGCGCTCAGAGACTTGTCCTGTTTCCCAGGCCCTGTGCGCCCAAGCCTACAGTCTGGCGGGTTTTTTACCACTGAGTGAATTGAAAGTTAATAACTTCCTCTTGTCACTGGCAACCCTTGTAGAACCTGTTTGGGGCTATGCCTTTGGAAATAATTGAGTCCATTGAAAAACTGAGTCCTTTAAAACCTGATGTCAGAATTGGGGTGGGGGGACAGTGCACTCTTTGCAATCTGAGTTTTCACTAATGTTGGTCTGTTCTGTTTGTTGTGCTGTTGTTAAGGGATAACCAGTTATGGTTGGGTCAGTTCCAACTTACTACAGGCTCCTGCGTGTTCATAGGGCTCTCAGGAGCTGACTCTATGAAGTTGATGGCCAGACCTTTTTTCCGAGATGCCTTAGTGCGGGCTTGAATTGCCAGTCTCTTGTTTAGCGGCCAAGCACTTCGCTGTTCTGTCCTTCCAGGGACTCATCTGGGAGTACGTAGAAGGCTGTTATATTTTGTTGTAAATCAATATGAGAGAGAAATAAGGTATGTAATTGATTGGTTATAACCCAGCTAAAATTGCTGTGTAATCAGATTTGATGTATTATTTTTTCAATCATCCAGCAAACTGTATCTCAGAGCAGTTGTAAGTTAGCTTTCCCTTCAATCATCCAGCAAAACCTTTAACTGTGGCCTTTATCTCAAAGCAGTTGCAAGTCAGCCTTTCCTTCAGTCATCCAGCAAAACCTCTAATTGTGGCCTTTATTTCCAGGGTTCCTCTGGTTCACAGGAGTACCACAGTCTCTTCAAAATCTCTCCACTATTGTCATCACCTGTCTTACAGGGTGGAAAACACTCTCTTATATTGGTCCCACAGCTATAGATGATTTGCTAGACTATGTGCCCACAGTTCAGGTAGCTTGAGACCATACCTTCTCAACAGAAGCTAGTACAATGGCTAGAAACACCAATTTTCAAGGTTCTGACACCTTACTTACCATGCTTGAAAACTTCATTAAAAACCCCAGCAAGATTGTAATTCAGAGAAGCTAAAAAATTCCCCTTAAGTAAAGGTCCCCTGAAGAGGAAGTAAGAACCTCAGCACCTATTTTCGGCACAGGAGGATAAGAGAGGGTGGGCTATTCCATTTTCAAATGGGAAGAAAAGAATTTCACTATGGTGGGGAAACCTAGTGGGGACCACTGCTCTCCTCCTTTTCATGGTTTCCCTATAAGTCAAATTGGCTGGACAGAATCAGGAATTTAACGTTTTGGCTATTGTCATGTACCATCTAGTCAGAACCGACTTATAACTCACCCTCCAGCGGGTTTTCAGAGGCGAAAAATCACCCAGAAAGAGATTGCCCATCTTTCTCTTGCACAGCTGCTTGTGAATTTGAACCATGTACCCTTTGGTTGGCAGTCCAATTCCTTACCTGCTAGGCCGTCAGAGCTCCTTTAAGTGATGAGAAACTTGAACACAGGAAAGCTGCAAATCTGTGTAGACTCACCGAGCGAAGTCAGATTTAAGGAAATGGGGAAATAAATAACTCTGCTCTTGATTTGTGTTTGTCTCTCTGTGTCATCCTAGGTAGAAGAAGTGAAAAAGCACCAGCACTGCTTAGCATTTAGCTCCTCTGGGTCCCAAAGCCAGACTTACTACATTTGTTTCGACACCTTCACGGAGTATTTGAGGTGGCTTCGACAAGTCTCCAAGGTAAGCCCGCCGCACCCAGGAGGCTGGCGAGCTTCTGGCTGCCTGAACGGTGCCTTCTGTTTTGCTGAGTCCCAAAATACAGTCAAATACACAGAATTATTTTTTTTAAAGATATTACTGGTGGTTAGCAGTTTTTAGTTTTCTGAAAGCTAAGTTTGGCCAAATGTGGCTTTTGAACAAAATGCCAAGTGTTATTTGCTAGATTTTGTTAAGTACATACTGGGAAGGAAACCACTGGGCATAGACTGGTGTTGCTGTCCTGATACCGTAGATAAAGAGTAGGAGACTGGGAGTGTGGAAGGGACTGGCTGGGGCTACGACTACAGCCAAACCACAGACTACCCGGAAAGTTGTTAGAAATTCCCTTCTTCTGTTTCTCATGAACGAGCTATTCTTGTGCTCTCTCTCCTTTTAACCTGTATTCTGCATTGTGAGTGGGTGACTATTTTTAAATCTCAGTTGGTTTGGCCGTTCTGTGTTCCCCTGATTAAATAAGATGCAGTGGTCCGTGAAATAACAGACCTGTGTGTGCGCTTTCGTTGGAAGCAGAACCTAATAAAAGAGTAAAAGCTGACATTTCAGGTACTGGGGGGAGGATATTTTAAAATGCTGAGACTCTTGTGTTAGGCTGTGAAGTTTTGCATTTGCTTTTCGATCTCTTTTGTGAATCTGTGTTGTCAGCGATGGGCAGGGTGGGACACGTGGCATCCTGCTTTAAGTTGTGCGGGTGAAATGATGAAACCTGGGCCAGGACACAAAACCATCACAGGGCATTTGCCTGTGTATTTTCAGATTTGTAATCCAATTTGTTATCTCCCATCGGTGTGATCCATGCTGTTCTACGATGTGATCATTTTCCAAGTGAACGAGTAAGGAAATAACAAGAAAATATGACCAGTTTAGAGAAAATCTGAGTGTGACATCATCAAAGCCTTTCTGAGATAGTGGCCTCATTTGACTTCTCAGATGAACATGGTATCTCTGATGACACCGTGTCATGTGTGCCCCTTCACTTCTCCTTTTATAGACTAGTCTTAGCTTCGCAGGGCTTAGGGGGTGCTACCCCTTAAGTAGGTGCATTAGGCCCCCTGGTGGCACAGTGGGTAAGCACTGAGCTGTTGAGTGAAAGTTTAGCAATTTGAACCCACAGCAGGTCCATGGACTTGGCAGCCCGTTTCCTTGAAAACGTCCAGCTTTGGAAGCCCAGGTGACTGCTCAGCCCTGCCCTGTGGCAATGCTGTGAACCAGTATTGACTGAGAGGCCGTGGGTTTGAATTGATTTGTTGCTTTTTTGGTGCGTTTTGTCTTGTCTTCTCTTAAAAATAGGTAAATACAGAGCCCTGATGGTGCAATGATGAAACACTTGGCTACTAGCCTAAAGGTTGGTGGTTTAAACCCACCAGCTGCCACTACAGGAAGAGTGAAGTGGCCTTTGCTTCTGTAAAGTGTGTGGGCTTAGGAGCCTCTGGGGGCAGTTCTACTCCGTCCAGTGGGGTCAGTGTGATTTGGAGTCGATCAGGCAGCAAAAATGATGACGCTTCGTCTTTCATCCTTTGGACATGTGGCTCAGCAAGACCGTTCCTCGGAAAGGGACATCGTGCTTGGAAAGCTGGAGGGTCAACGGCAGAGAGGAAGCCCCTCAATGAGATGGACGGACACAGTGAGGGCAGCAGTGGGCTCTGGTGTGTCAGAGAGGACAAGGTTCAGGTCAGCTGTTCATAGGGTCGCTGTGGGTCATACTTGATATGGGCAAGTCTGCTGTTAGGGACCTCTTCAAAGTACTGAAGAGCAGTGGTGTCACTCTGGAGACTAACGTGCATCTGTTACAGGCCATGGTCTTTGCAATCACTTGTTATGCATCAGAGAGTTGGACATTGACTAGGGAGGACAGAAGGAGAATTGATGCCTTTGAGTGGTGCTGGAGAAGAGTATTGAGGGTACTATGGACTGCTAAGAAAAAAAAACACAGATTCATCCTGGAAAGGGTTAAACCAGGCACCTCCTTGGAGGGAAGAATTCTGAGGCTTTGCCTGACATACTTTGGACATGTTGTAAGGAGGGACTGACCAGTCCTTGGAGAGGGACATCATGCTTGGGAGGGTGGAGGGACAGCGCAGGAGGGGAAGGCCCTCTATGAGGTGGATTGATTCAGTGACTAGAGTAATCAGGATGGGTGTATTGGAGACAGTGAGATTGGCACAGGACAGAGCAGAGTTTAGTCCTGTTGTAAATAGGGTTGCTATGAGTCGCAAGTGACTCATAACAACAACAAACAACAATAGACAGCGGAGGGTTTTAATAGACAAACAGAGGTTCCCAATGTGTAAGGAACACTCCCACCAGAGAAAAGAGAAAGACATACGTCACAGACGCTGTTGTTGTTAGGTGTTGTCAAATCAAGTCACTCAATTGTATTTATCCTTTCATTCACATACACACGCATACTTGTTATGTACCAGAATGAGTCTGTTTTGTGCATATTTCATGTAAGTCCTAACAAGTATTATTATTATTGTTGTTGTTGTTATTACACAGTGGTTAAAGCCCTGGGCTGCCAGTCAGAAGTTAAGCTGTTCAAAGCCACCAGCTGTAATGTGGGAGAAAAGTGTGGCTGTCTGCCCTTTTAAGGACGTAGAACTTTAGAAACCCTATGATTGGTTCCACTCTTTGCTGCTTTGGGCATATAGCTCAGCAAGGCTAGTCCTTGGAAAGGGGCCTCATGCCTGGAAAGATAGAGGGTCAGCCAAGGAGAGGAAGACCCCCAGCGAGATGGACTGACAGTGGTGACTTCAGCAATGGTTCTGTTGTATAAGATGATGAAGATTGCATGAGATAGGGCAGAGTTCAGGGCAGCTGTTCTTAGGGTGTCTTTGAGTCACTTGATTTGATGACACCTAATAACAACAACAGCGTCATGATTTGCTAAAGAAAAGTACGTTGTAAGGAATAGAATAAAGAAGTCGACTGTAGAAGAAATGAATGAGGGGACTCCCTGTGTGAGTGTGAAAGCTGTGTAAAATACAGCCACGGCCTGCGTTCTCCTTTCTGTTAGGAGGGTTATCCGGAGAGAGTATCATTTCCTCAAATCCAGCATCCGGCTGATTAGCCTGAGACACTCTCTCATGGGCATGTGCATTTGGGGGGTCTCAGCAGCAAAGGTGGCCACTGTAAGCGCCTGCTGCTTCCAGCGTCCCCTCCCTCAGCACCTGCTCCCCATCCTGGAGCTGTTAGCAAGTTATGTAATTTAGTCAGACCAGGGTTGCTATGGAAACAGTTTCTCTTTTCTTGTGAGAAACAAAACAGTCCCAGAATGGATTGATTGTCTTTGCATCCTGATGTGTAAATAAGGACTCGTTTTGATAAGGATCTGATAGAAACAACAGAAAAGGCATATCCGAGTTTATCGAGTTTATCGACCCTCTCCACCTCCGTCAGGCAAGCCAGAACAAAACAAATAGAACACAAGAACAAATTCCTGTGATTCTCAAATGAAAATGAATTAGGTGAAAAAATTTGAAAGTAAGCTTCTTTGTTTTCAGTTGAGGCTTCTAGCTTTTAGCTACAAGAGAGAGGAATCATCTTTATTTTAATTTTGTTAAAGGAAAATTTCCAAAGCGTTGGTCTTTAGATGTGTTATATTAAAATAAACTCTTATATGCTTACTAGTATTTTTAAACATCCTTATCACATAGCATTGCTTGCCAAAATTACATCCCAAATGGGCTTTTTAGAGGTTTTCATTCTGGGCTTTAGTTAGCGGTAGATACTGTGAAGGAAACAACTTCTTTGGGAGGATTACAATACTGGTCATAAGGTCATCCCTGAAAGGTTGATGCACAGTGTGCTTTAAAACTTCGATGAGCTTCCTTCTTCTGTAGGGGCTGTAAGCGAGGCGGGCGAAGTATGTGTGTCCAGTGCAGTGCTTCTTAGAGGAGGCTGGTGGTTGAAGGATGGAAGCTGCGATGACCGCTGAAGCAGCAAAGTTGATTCATCAAATGGCTGAGCCACATTTGAGGGACCCTGACCTAATTGTTCATCCTGCGACCCACTTCTCCAGAGCGTCACTTGGAGACATGGGCGCTGGCTCTGTGACTGCCTTTCAGAGTTAGTCTTCTGTGTGAATCTTCGGTGTCAGCCACGCTTGTTTGATCTTTATACAAGTGTTAGTGCTTCTGGGACATGACATTTGCTCTTTAACTGCTTCGTCTCTGTTTCAGGAAAGAGTGTGGTTTAAAATCACTGATTTGGTTGTGAGTGTGTATGTGTGTTTTAATATCTTATTATGAAAATGTTAAATGCTTTACAAATCTAGTAACCTCCCCCTTCACCTAGGGCTCAGCTTCTTCAGAGTTAATCACCTCACAACTATTTGTGGTTTATCTGTACACTTACGTTTTTGTTGTTACGTACTGTCGAGTTGGAACTGACCCATAGCTGACCCTCCAGCAGGTTTTCAGAGGCGATAAATCACACAGGGAGAGATTGCCCATCTTTCTCCCGTGAAGTAGCTGGGGGATTCAAACTATGTACCTACCATTGGGTTAACAGTCTTAACTCCTGAGCACTAAACTGCTAGGAAATTGCAGTCATTTCTGATTTCACCCTGACCTTTTTCTCTGTGTGTGTACATGTGTATATGTTTCTGTGTATCTACGTTTGTATGTTACTATAAATTAAACATGTATATTTATTATGCATTGGTAAAAAATGGGCTATTCAGCTAATTGTGACTGCTTTAACAGATCCAGGATTAGGGAGTCGATTCGGGTGCTTGGTTGCTGAAACAATCACACGTGAAATAATCACGATACACAAGAGAACATGCAGCAGTGGTGGAAGAGAATGGGCTGGGGGCTGCTCCTCTAACTTTGTGTCTGACAGACAAACTGGTACCGACTGGCTAAATGCACATCGGTTTTATTGTTGGCACATTTCCGGATTCATGGTTTTGAGTGGCCTGACCAAGATGAAAGGCACGGAACTCTCTGACGAGGTATATT